GGGGGGGGGGGGGGGGGGGGGGGGGCGGGGAGGGGAGCTGATTTGAGCCAATACCCTTTCCAACTCTGAGCCTTTGAAGTTAAAACAGAAAATTATTGGAAAAGACGTTCCATTATGATCACATTTTGTCTGAAATTAGCATGATGTCTAGATGAGTACTAAATGGTCGCGTTAAAAACAGGTGGAAAACCTGTAAAGAAATGTTGCCTGTGTGTGACATTTTAGAAAAAGAATAATTTCCTGTGCCCAGCCCTAAGCCAGTTGTCATGGTGTGTGTAAGGTTTGGTCTCAGTATTTTAAGAGGGATATTGGAGGAAGTTCAGAGAAGAGCAACAAATAATTAAAGAAGTGGAAAGTATGACACGTGAGAATGAAATAAGGATTGTTTAGCCTGAAGAAGAAAAGGCTAAGGAAGGGATTCCTTAATAACATCCTTCTGTGTCTGGCCAGTACCGCTCCATAAAACTAGGCAGAAAACAAAGAGCATCAGTCTTCTAAATCTGAGGACTCTGCTGGGATTGGCTGGCCTTTTTGGCCAAATCTCAGTCTCCAGAATTCCAAATCTGTCTGCTGTGCCTGAATCCTGCCAAAGTCCTTGAACTTGACTTCTCACTCCCCAGGTTGTCCAGTATCTTCAAGAACTTGCATGGTTAGAGCCTAGCTTTCTGCCCTTCCAGTCCCCCTCTTGCCCACATGCATACTTACAGCCTCTACACATCACAAGGGTGTGTGTGTTTCAACTGCAAAGTCCACCAATAATTGCAGGTTACTATGACATTCCTCCTTCTCTACTGAGAGTCACAAGGTCAGGACTATAAGACTTGTATAAAGTTAAGTGATTGGGTTTGTTGTGCAACAGAAACTAACAGGGTATTGTGAAGTAATTATACTCCAATAAAGATCTATTTAAAAAAAAAAAGTTAAGTGTTTCTTTGGGCTTTTCAAAATAGCCAGCCACATTTATCGCTGCCTGAAAGAGCCCCAATTCTGAAACCAAATCCTTCCTCCCTTCTTATATTTCCAGCTGTCTGCTGGACATTTCTACTTGGACATTCCACTGGCACAAACTCCAAATGTCTTTAACTCATGAAATCCAGATCCTACTCATGGCTTCCTCATCTCTGTTAATGATACTGCTGCTCTTTAGCTCACAGAGCCTCAGGCATTTTCTACTTCTCTCCTCCCACCACCTCCCTCCCCACAACACAGAGCTAGACTCCAAATCCTGTCATTTTTTCCCCTCACATTGCCTCTCCTCTATTCCTTTCCATTCTCACTGCCACCTCACTAATGCACTCCTAACTGTGCTGTTTGAACTGTGTCCTAACTGATCACCCTCCGTGTACACCCTCCCTGCCCCCACGTACCACAGCTAGATTCATCATACTCAAATATCCTTTCAGTTACTTTATCCCCAAACTCAAAGATTTCAGAAAAAATCTGGAAGCAAACAAAATCACTTAACCTAGAATTCGAGTTCCTTCACTTCACCTCTCCCTATAGCCGATCTGGTTTGCTTTATTACCTCCCAAAGCAGACCAAAGACTGTAATTTTTATTCTCTAGAGTTTGGGAAGTAATCACCATCTTCCCCTTCGTTCTTACAGAGGCCAACCCAGAGCCAAGTTTCAAGCATCAGCAGTTTGTTGGGAGTTTCAAGGAAAAGGGGTAGCTGAGGGTGAAGTGACACAGGAAAGGGAATTAGCCAATAATGGGTACATTATTAAATCTACCACAGTAGGTAACCACAATCCCACAGAATTGATGTAAAGTACACCCCACAGAAATATCCTAGCCAAGGGGCAGGAGAATAGGAATATATATATATATGCCAACACTCATCAGTCATGGATTAAGGGCTGGGGGCACTCATTCATTCTCAGACATTCCCAGCCTGCTATGTTCACAGGCATAGTAGCTCCCCAAGAATGATGCACGTCTTAGCCATGAGAAGTGACGTTGGCATGCTCAGAAATGGTAAGGAGATTTGAGGAGAAATGAGAAAAGCAGTAACAGCATCTTCTTAGCCACCATGCCTTTGTTCATGTTATCGCTCTATTTTAAAAGCTCTTCTAAAATAGATATCTAATAAGGACCTACTGTATAGCACAGGAAACTCTCTACTCAATACTCTGTAATGACCTATATGGAAAAAGAATCTAAAAAGGAGTAGATATCTGTATATGTATAACTGATTCACTTTGCTGTGCAGCACCAACTAACACAACATTGTAAAGCAACTATACTCCAAAAAAAATTAATTAACAAAAAATTAAAAGTAAATGCTCTCAAGGAAAAAAAAACAAAAACAAAAAAACTCTTCTCCAAATCTCTCCTCTTCCTTTCATTGGGCCAACTTCTGTCAGGCTCAGGTGCCA